ATCAGGAGGCAGTATGAACATGTACACATTAGTTTTCCAGCACTGTCTTAACCAAGTACCACAGCCTGGGGGAGGTGAAACAACAGAAATGTACTGTCTCATGGTTCTAGAAGCTAGGAATCTAAGATCAAGGTGCCGGCAGGGTTGATTCCTTCTGAGGCTGTGAGGGAGAGTTGTCCCAACCTCTTCCTTCCCCTGGCTTCTGGGCATCTGCTGGCAAACCTTGACGTTACATGGCTGGTAGTCATTCCAAGTCCAAGGTCTGCCCTCATCTTCGAATGGCAATGTCTCTGTGTATGTGTCCAGGTTTCTCCTTTTTAGTTTATTTATTTTGTTTATGGATTTACGGGGGGGGGGGGACAGAGAGAGAGGGAGAGAGAATCCCAAGCAGGCTTTGCACTGTCAGCGTGGACCCCGACGTGGGGCTCGAATTCATGAACCATGAGATCACAACTTGAGTCAAAGCCAAGAGTCAGACACTTAATTGAGACACTCAGGTGCCCCTGGGCACCATCCCCCCCCCCCGGTTTTTTTAATGTTTACTTAATGTGCACGAGCAGGGGAGGGTGGATCTGAAGCTCAGTGCTGACATCAGAGAGCCCAGTGTGGGGCTTGAACCCATGAACTGTGAGTTCACGACCTGAGCCGAAGTCGGACGCTTAACCGACTGAGCCACCCAGGTGCCTTAGATTCCCCCCTTTTATAAGGGCGCCAGTCATGTTGAGTTCGTTCCGCCACCCCCCCCCCACCCCAACCTCATCTTAATCATTCCCAGATACTGAGGATTAGTGCTTTTTTTTTTTTCTTTTTCCTTGCAGGAAGGAGAGACAGTTGGACCCATGATTGCCTGTGTTTGAAATTCTCTATAATAAGCCTTTCTGAAAAGAGAGAGACAGGGGCGCCTGGGTGACTCAGTCATTTGAACCTCCAACTCTTGATTTTGGCTCAGGTCACGATCCCAGCATCGTGGGATTGAGCCCCACATGGGGCTCTGTGCTGACAGCACAGAGCCTGCTTAGGATTCTTTCTCTCCCTTTCTCTCTCTGCCCCTCCCCTGCTCTCTCTCTCTCTCTCTCTCTCAAAAATAAATAAAACTAATAAACATTAAAAGAGAGAGAGAGATGGGGGCGCCTGGGGGGCTCACTTGGTTAAGCGTCCGACTTCAGCTCAGGTCATGATCTCGCGGTCCGTGAGTTCGAGCCCCGTGTCGGGCTCTGTGCTGACAGCTCAGAGCCTGGAGCCTGTTTCAGATTCTGTGTCTCCCTCTCTCTCTGCCCCTCACCTGTTCATGCTCTGTCTTTCTCTGTCTCAAAAATAAATAAACGTTAAAAAAAAAATAAAAAATAAATAAACATAAAAAAGAAAGAAAGAAAGAAAGAAAGAAAGAAAGAAAGAGAGAGAGAGAAAGAAAGAAAGAAAGAGAGAGAAAGAAAGAAGGAAACTGAAAGCAAAATCGAGCCACTGGGGCTGGGATCAGACTCCCCGGAAACACAGGGGCGAAAGGCAGGCAGCTTTGATGGTGGATTTAGGGTGTCTACTTATTGGGGGTCGGCACGGAGGCCCACTGGGTGGGGATGAGGGAAGGGCCATAACCAGACCAAAGATGTCCCCACTCCAGTGAAAGGGTGTCTAGGAAAGAAAGCCTCAGAGCACCTCCTCCCAAACACATACCCACCAATCCACCAGGAGTGGATTAAAGTTAACGCACTGCTGGGTCATCCAAAGAGGGCAAAGCCTCCAACTGCCATGTCCCCACCCGGGCAGGAGGGATCCAAAGGCTAGTGAGAAGGGGCGAGGCAGACAGAAGAGTCGACAGCAGAGAGACCAGACCCTTTCCCCGCCCCCCCCAACCGAGGCCTCCAGCCTGGAGAGGGCTCCCATCCAACGTTGAGCCAAGTTCAGAGATGTGACTATGCCACCGACCTGAGCCTGAGTCCCGGGCAGAATTCTCAGCCAGGGGGTGGGGCAAGGTTCCACCACAGAACAAAGGGGCAAAAGAGGAAGCCAAGTTGTGTTTTGACTGAGATGTCAACAACATGAATTTTTCTGCCTTACCAGCTAGGGCCGCGAGGACGAAATGTGATGTATCGACCAGATCGGTGGCAACACAGAGGAAATGTGTATTTCTGCCTGGGAAGTTGGAGGCGAGATTCTCAGAGCTGAGTCCTAATGAAACAGACACAGCGACTGCTACTACCCGTTCTGGCTCTGTGCTCGTCAGGCGCTGCATCCACACTGTGTTAGCGGAACCCCATGGCCGCCCTTTGAGGTTTGGGTTACCATCCCATTCTACAGCTGAGGCCATCAAGGCGCAACCAGAGGAAGGGGCTTGCTCAAGGTCACAGCTTATGACAGGGGCTGTCAGCATCCTGACCACAACCCTTGACACCTGCTGTCCCACGCACTCCCCCCAACCGTCAGTGCCGCAGGACCATGGTGGGTTTGTCTGCTGGGCAGGTCAGAAGGACTGGGGACCCGCAATGATACATCACTTCCTCCTACCCCATTAGGATGGCAATAATAACAGTAATCACAAAACAGAAAATGGGGGCAAAATACAGGAATCCCTAAAATGTCACTTACTGGATGCCAGTGGAGCTTTAAAAAGCCTTCTGTGCCTGGGTGGCTCAGTCAGTTGAGCGTCCCACTTTGGCTCAGGTCACGATCTCGTGGTTTGTGGGTTCAGGCCCCCCGTCGGACTCTGGAGCCTGCTTCAGATTCTGTGTCTCCTTCTCTCTCTGCCTCTCCCCCACTTGTGCTCAGTCTCTCTCTCTCAAAAATAAATAAAATGTAAAAAAAAAAAAATTAAAAACAGACAATAGTATCGATGAGGATGTGCAGAAAGTAGAATTCTAAAAAAATTTTTTTAATGTTTACTTATTTTTGAGAGACAGAGACAGAGAGACAGAGCATGAGCAGAGATGGGGCAGAGAGAGAGGGAGACACAGAATCCGAAGCAGGCTCCGGGCTCCGGGCTGTCAGCACGGAGCCCGACGCGGGGCTCTAACTCACAAACCGCGAGATCATGACCTGAGCCAAAGTCAGACCCTCAACCGTCCGAGCCACCCAGGCGCTTCCCCCCCAGCAATTGCACGTCTAAGTATATTCCCGAAAGGACTGAAAAAATTTTCATACCAACACTTGCACATGAACGTATATAGCAGCATGATTCAGGGTAGCCAAAAGGGAGAAACAACCCAAATGTCCATCAGCTGGTGAATGAATAAAGCAAAGGTCCTATCTCCATACAATGCAATATTATCCAGCCCTAAAAAGAAACTCAGTATAGGGGCACCTGGGGGGCTCAGTTGGTTGAGTCCGACTCTTAAAGTGGGCGTGGAGCCCACTTAATAAAAAAATTTAAATTTAAATTAAAAAAAAAGGAAAACGTATTAATACATGCTACAACATGGACGAAACGTTATGCTAAACATCACGAACATTATGCTAAGGGAAAGAGTCCAAACACAAAAGGCCACATAGTGTGTGATTCCACTGATAGGAAATGTCCAGAATGTGCAAGCCCATAGAGACAGCAGATTAGTGGTTGCCAGGGGCTGAGAGGAGAGAGGATTGGGAGGTACCAGGTTTTTGGGGATGGTGATGGAAATATTCCAGAATCATATACTGGTTGTACAAGATTGTGAATACACAGGAAAATTTTTAAAGGGCAAAAAGTAAGTTTTGTATTGTGAATTTGTCTCAAATATATATATATATATACACACACATATATACACACATATATATACATATATACGTGTATGTGTATATATATGTATATATATACACACACACACACACAGCATATAAATGTAAATTGGTATAGCCACTTTGAAAACTAGTATTGTGGGTTTCCCCCAAAATTAAAAATAGTACTACCAGGGTATCTGGGTGGCTCAGTCATTCTAGCGTCCAACTTCGGCTCAGGTCACGATCTCATGGCTTGTGGGTGCGAGCCCCGTGGCGGGCTCTGTGCTGACAGCCCAGAGCCTGGAGTCTGCTTCGGATTCTGTGTCTCCCTCTCTCTGCCCCTTCCCCAGCTCACGCTCTCTCTCTCTCTCTCGAAAATAAATAAATATTAAATTTAAAAAAATAGTACTACCATATGATCGACCAATTTTACTTCTGGATATTTATCTGAAGGAAACAAAATCAGTATCTTGAAAAGATATCTACACCCCCATGTTACTGCAGCATTATTTACAATACCCAAGACACGGAAACAACCTAAATGTCCATCAATGTATGAACGGATATATATAGATAAATACAGATATATACATATAGATATATACTATATACATACGCACACACAAATATGTATACACGTATATAACTGACATATAGTATGCGTGTATACGCGTATACATATAAGTGTATACACACACATATACACAACGGAATACTATTCGTCCATAAAAAGAAGGAAATCTTGCCATTTGCTACGTCACAGATGGACCTTGAGGTCATTACGCTAAGTGAGATAGGTTAGAAAATGACAAATACTGCATGACCTCACTTATATGTGGAATCTTAAAAACAAACAACAACAAAACAACAACAAAAACAAACCACTTGAGGAGTACCTGTGTGGCTCAGCTGGTTAAGCGTCCCATTTCAGCTCTGGTCAAGATCTTGTGCTTTGTGTGATCCTGCATCGGGCTCTGTTCTCAGTGTGGAGCCTTCCTGGAATTCTTTCTCTACGCCCCGCCCTCTCTCTCAGAATAAATAAATCAACTTTAAAGCAAAACAAAAGACACACCTGAATTTACATACAGAACAGATTGGTGGTTGCCAGAGGCAGGGGGTGGGGGAAATGGGTGAAGCGGGTCAAAGGGTACAAACTTCCAGTTACAAGGTAAATGGGTCCTGGGATGCGATGGACAGCTGGTGACCCAAAACTGTTTAAATAAATGAATAGAAATGTACATATGGAATAACGAAGTATTAGGCAGTTGACATTCCTGGAGGAGCTTCGACCCAGCGAGGCACAGGATTGGCGTAAAAAGTCCGCCCATCTCCAAGGGGTTCCTCAGTGAGACTGAACCACAGTGGCCCCAAAGGAGGTCTCCATACTAACCCACAGCTTTCCTGGTTGCCTTCCCCGACTCCCCCCAAACCCCCATCCCAGGTATAAACTGCTAGAACACCAGGTTTGGTTCCAGGGGCTGCTTTTGGGGAGAACGTCCACTAAAACAGCCGCTAAGTTGTCAGAGCCTGGATCCAAACCCCAATCTGCTCCTCCTTCTGTCACAACCTTGTGGATGAAATGCTCTGAGAACCTCCTGTAAAAGCTGTGGGAAGGAAATTCTGGGCCAGAGGAACGGCATGTTCAGAATGCTCGGGGACAAAAGAAATTCACTGAAGCTGCCAGGAAGGGCGGGGTGGCCACGCCACAGCTCCGAGTGAAGGGACAGCAGGGGCCAGGCCACAAAGCGGGATATGAGTCCGCGGCCTCTAGTCTGTAGTGGGTCCACTCACTGGACTGCCCAAGACTGCCTGGCACCCGGGAGGAAGGCTTGCCCTTCCTGGCAACTTCAGCGAAGGGCTGGGGAGCCTCCGCTTTCCTTTTCCTAGAGGGAACACAAAGGAAATGTGAGACCAGGAGGCGGACGCTCCTCTCGCTACCCTGGCCGCCATTACCACCCCATCTTCATCTCAGGAAATGGCTCTCTGTCTTCCCAGGGGACCGGGCCAGAACCAAGAAGTCATTCTTAACTCCGCTCTGTCCTCATGTCCCAGCAAGCACAGGTGACCTTGCCACCAAAACGGATGTCAGATCACTTCTCCGATGGCACTGCCCAGAGCAAGGGCCCATTATTACCCACCTCGACTAGAGTAGTCACCTCCTCTCTGGCCTCCTGTCCTCCCTGGCCCTGGGACATAGCTCCTGCTGTCTCAGGAGGGTGCCTGTAAACACTGGAGCTGGGGCTGTCCCTCCTCAATGGCTCCCACCTCACTGGGAAGAAAAGCCAAAGTCCTCTGCAGACTGACAAGCATGCCGGGCACCATCTCCTCCCTGCCTTCATTTCCTCCTCCCTTCCTTACTGCACTCCAGTCATATGGGCCTCCAGGCTGTCCCTACCTCAGGGCCTTTGCACATTCAGCACTCTCTGTCTGGTACCTTCCCTCTCTGATATTGTCACAGGAGCCTCCTCACTTCCCCGTGTCTTTGCTCAAATGTCGCCTTCTCAGTCTTTCCCAGAGTACTCTACTTAAAAGTTCATTAACCCTCACATTCCCTATCCCTCCTATTCTATTTCCTCTCAGCACTAATCACCAACACTCACCCCATATATTTTATTTTTGTTTCTTATCGGCCCCCCGCCGTTGAAACCATCTCTGCACAATGACGAAATGTTTGTCTTTCCTCATCACTGCCCTGTCGCCAGCTCTTGGAAGGATTCCTATCACAGCAGGCACCCACTGAACACCACAGGGCCTGTAGGGAGAGATCCGAAAGAACCGCGCTTTTATGGCTGCAAGGAAGACTTGGGCCGCGCGGGGGAGCTCGCCGCCCGCGCACTGTGGACCAAAGTTCAGAGACCCATTGCGGAAAGCCCGAGAAAAATCCGCCGGAAAATAACCTCCCCTCTCCCTCCCGCACAGGATTTTCCCAGTCCCTTCGAGGCTTGGGGCGTCCCTGGTCCTACCCTGCACCTTTGCCCAGACAGTTCGGGGAGGGATTTCAGCACCCACCACACCCCGCGTAGGAAGATCCCCGTGGAAATCCCTTAGGAATCATCAGGGCAGGAGAAGGGATGCTTTTCTAGCTGATGAGTGACTCGAAGCCCTATCCTCCGAAGGAAGGGCTCGAACGTCCCCTGGGCTCCCTCCCTTCCCCTTCTGCTGCGCGACCTCCTTGGCCCCTCAGAGGTCTCCATGGCGACGCGACGCGCATCCCACAACAGGAAGTCTTAGGCGGCGTGGCTAAGCGCTGGGAGACCCCAGGGCCCCCAGCCTCGACGTGGTAGATGCCAAGCCTTGGGGTCACACGCGTAGGCCGTGGCCTTGGGGTGGAGGACGCGGCGGCGGTCTATAGACACAATCCCTCCCCCCACGCCCCTTCCTAATGGAACTAGCCCCAGCAAATATCCGCACAATTTACCGCTGGCGCCCAAAGTTCAAGAGCCAGGTGCAGCGCTTGGAGTTTGGCCGCCTCCTCTCCTCGCCCCACTTCGGGGCGTAGGAGTTGTTTCCCTGTGGAAAGGAAGGGTCCGAGCGCCCCCTCTCCATTCAAGGTGTGCTACCTCAGTTTCCCCGAGGGGCCTGGGGACGGCAGCGGGGACCTCGGCGCGTCAGGACCACGCGGCTTCCTTCCTTTTTCTGGAGGCTGTAAAGACGCCCCCGCGGCGGAGGCCGAAAGGAGAAGCGCGGCCGCGGCCTTGGCTGGGGGGGGGGGGGGGGAGCGATGCAGGGCCCCGGACGTGATGACGCCTGGAGTCCTCACCCCATGGTTTCGCGGACCCTTGCATGCGCCCAGGCTTGTTCCTGCGCTTCTTGGGAAATCTGTCAGCTGAGCAAGGGCTTGCCCCTTGGGGGAGGGGCACCCTTGATAGAGAGTGCCCCGAAGAGATTCCTGGGTCCCCACCCTAAAGAGGGATCGTCCACTCGGTTAAAGAGGACTGCATGCGCTGGACAGTCAGACGAGTTCGAACCTCCTCGCCGCTCGGAGGCTCGGTTTACCCCTCTGTGGAATGGGCACAATAACAGTCCCTACCGTCCAGGGTAGTTGGCGGTATTCCGTAGAGCGCTTAGAGCAGCGGCACCGCAGCACCGCGGTGAGCCCGGCCCCGGGACCGAACCTGTCGCGCCGGGAGCGGCCCCCCCCCCCCCCCGAGCTCGCCCGGCCGCCGAGCCCCTCGTTGCTTCAGTTTGGAAATTCCAGCGCTCCAGCGGCCAACGAGGGGGGACAACGCGACTTAGGCTCGGCACCCTTTCAATCCGGAAATGCCGGAGCCCTCGTTCCGGAGGGGAAGGCGCGAGGTTTCCGGGAAAGTAGCACCGCCCCTCTGCCCCCCGTGCCCGGCCGCAATAAAAGGCCCACGCGCTGCGGCCATGAGCCCAGTCGGCGCCGCACGTCTCTGCGCGGCCGGAGGTCGGTTCCCTGCTCTCCCAGCTTCGGCCCGCTATGGCTCTCGGCACCGCCCGTCCCGCGCTGCCAGCGCTCCTGGCCCTGATCGGAGCTCTGCTCCCAGGTGAGTCGGGGTGGGGCTGCCGTCGAGCCAACTCCCCGGATCTTCGCTGCGCCCTGGGCGCACGGGGAGGACCCGCTCCCGGCCGGCTGGGGATAAGCCCCTGTCGTACTTAGGTAGCTGTTTATGGGAAGTTGGGGCTAGAGTCGCCGGCTGAAAGTTGACAGCAGTGGGTTCGAATCCAGGCCCTGGATCACTTCCACGGGAGGCCTCAAGTTAGAGGTTGACATTCCCGGAGCCTCAGTTTCTCAGCTGTAAGATGGAGAACGTAAGAGCGGCCGCTCGAAATGGTCGTGCCCTGGCCGAGTGCCACGCCTGGCTCCAAGACTCGGTCTGATTGTGTGCGGACGTGTCCGGCACCAAGCTGAGTAGGCTGGGGACCCCCCCCTCCCAACACACACACATGTACATTCTGTTTCTCGTCCCCCCTGCCCCTGGGGAAGTCCAGGACTGCCTCTGCTCAGGGGAATTCCAGGGCTGACTTGCCCAAAGGCCAGAGGCTGAGAGTGGCATGCCCCAGCACCCCTCCACCAACCCCAGTCTGGGGGTTGCCGAAGGGAGACCAGGGGAGCGCCAAATGGCGGTCTGTGTTGGGAAGCCGGAGAGTGGGAAAGGGACACCTGTGGTTACCAGCCCAACAAAGGGTTCTAGTCCAGATGCCAATGTGGTTTCTACTGCTTTTCAGCTGAGTAACCGCACTTCTCCCAGCCTCACCATTTCACTCTGTGAAATGGGAACTATCCCAGAATCACTCTCGGAGGATTCACGGAGCTGCTGTCTTCCCACACCTCCATCCAGATAGAGGAACCCAAAGCTGAGGACAGGAATCTTTGCAAGAGACAGATAGATAGGCCCTTTGGAAGGGCCCAGATAGATATTTTTTTCAGCTTTGGAGGCACCAGGGAGTCGGAGGGAGCTAATCACCACAAGCCCCCTTCTTCCCTGCAAACAGGCACTGTCTGCCCTGTGCTAGGAGTCCATTGCATTAAGCGGGGGCTGGGATGACTATATTTACCCACCTTACAGAAGGGGAAATTGAGGTCTTGAGAGCGGAGACCACTTGGCAGAGGAAGTGAGGAGACAACTCAGTTGGAACTTTTCCATTCCTGGAGGGATAGCCTCCTCCACCTCACATCCTGGGAGAGAGAAACACACTGACTTCATGTCCCTCCTCTGCTCAAGTCCGCCGTGGCTCCCCACTGCCCTCCGAATGAAGACCAAGTCCTTGGCATGGCCTGCCCTGCCCACATGATCCATCTTCCTGACCTTTCTCCCAGCTCTTCCTCCTCACTAACTCTCTCCAGCCACCCTGCCTCAGGACCTTTGCACTTGTGCCTGTTGCCTAGAATTAATTTCTCTCTTCTCTGAATGGCCAGCCCCTTCTCATCATTCGGATCTCTGCTCACACATTACCCTGTCACCAAGTCACTGTCTGTTCTCTCACCCTGTTTTGTTTTTGCCAAAGCTCTTATTAACATCAGTTATTAATTATCTTGTTTGCCTATGAATTTTTCTGTCTCCCACACTGAAGGCAGCGTTTTGCCTCGTTCAGGGCTCTGTGCCCAGCCCTCAACCCAGGCTGGGTACACGGTAATTGCTGATGAACCCGATTTGTCCTGACTTCCATCTTTTGTTCTAGGACTTGGAGGGGCCCAAACATCAGTGCACCCCCTAGAAGCCATCATACCCCGAGGCGGCTCTGTGCAGGTGAACTGTAGTACTTCTTGTGACCATCGCCCCTTCTTGGGCCTGGAGACGCAGCTGACTAAGAAGGAGGTCGCTCAGGGGGACAACTGGAAGATCTTTGAACTGAGTGGTGTGCAGGAAGATAGCACCCCAATATGCTTCTCGTACTGTCAAGCACAGACAATGGTTTCGATGTCTCTCGCCGTGTACTGTGAGTGGCTGGGCCCAGGGGCTGGACAAGGCAGGCTGGGTGGGGGAGGTGGACGTGTGCGAGTCCCCTCGGGCTGGGACAGCCTTTGTTGCTTGGTGGTGGGGACAGAGCTGGCTCGCCAGAGCACTGGTGGGCACATCTTCGGAAAGCCTCATTGTCGTTTGAAACCCCTTCTTGAATTTTCTTGGGTGCATTTAGCGTATTGCAGAGATTCAGTACATTTGAGTACTATAGGCCTCTGGAAACATGTGACAGATCCTAGATATGACTCTTTATTTTATTTTTTTATTATTAAAAAATTTGTTTTAAATCTTAATTTTTGACAGAGAGAGAGAGAGAGAGAGAGAGAGAGAGAGAGCAAGAGCAGGGGAGGAACAGAGAGAGAGGGAGACATAGAATCCAAAACAGGCTCCAGGCTCTGAGCTGTCAGTACAGAGCCCAACACGGGGCTCGAACTCCCCAACCGCGAGCTCATGACCTGAGCCAAAGTTGGACACTTAACTGACTGAGCCACCCAGGCGCCCCTAGATATGACTTTTTAAAAGATGTAGTTTAGGGGCGCCTGGATGGCACGGTCGGTTGAACATCTGACTCCTGATTTTGGCTCAGGTCAGGATCTCACTGTTCGTGGGTTCAAGCCCTACTTTGGGCTCTGCACCGACAGTGTGGAGTCTGCTTGGGACTGTCTCTCTCCCTCTCTCTCTGCCTCTCCCCTGCTTATACATGCTCTCTCTCTCTGTCTCTCTCTCAAAATAAATAAACATTAACAGGGGCGCCTGGGTGGCGCAGTCGGTTAAGCGTCCGACTTCAGCCAGGTCACGATCTCCCGGTCCGTGAGTTCGAGCCCCGCGTCGGGCTCTGGGCTGATGGCTCAGAGCCTGGAGCCTGTTTCCGATTCTGTGTCTCCCTCTCTCTCTGCCCCTGCCCCGTTCATGCTCTGTCTCTCTCTGTCCCAAAAATAAATAAACGTTGAAAAAAAAATTAAAAAAAAAAAACAAAAACATTAACAAAGAAGGAGATGCAGTTTAGGGGCACCTGGGTGACTCAGTGGGTTAAATGCGTCTGACTTTGGCTCAGGTCATGATCTCACAGTCCGTGAGTTCAAGCCTCACGTTGGACTCTGCTGACAGCTCAGAGCCTGGAAGCTGCTTCAGATTCTGTGTCTTCCTCTCTCTCTGCCCCTCCCCTGCTTGTGCTCGGCCTCTCTCTCTCTCTCTCTCTCTCTCTCTCTCTCTCTCTCTCAAAAATAAATAAACATTTAAAACAAAATGTTAAAGAAGATGCAATTTAAAAGTAGCCCGGACATGGCAATTTTCACGTATTGGCAGCAGTCAAAAGGGTTGATAACAGCCATGCTGGCAAGACGGTGGGGAAGCGGGCAGTCCTGGGACATCGCTGACAACGTGGGAACAGAGAAGCACAGCCCCGAGTGGGGAAGTGGTGTCAGTTCTCTAAGTGGCCCACGCATGTGTGCTTTGACACAGAAATCCCATTCCTCGGGATTGGGCTTATGTGTGTCCCCAGCCCCGCGGGAGCGGCGTGGGCTGCGGGATGGGGTTATTTTACTGCGGCTTTATTTGCATGGGCAAAAGTTTGCAACCCACTCGGGCACAGGGCACGGGGGAGATACGCTGTAGTTTGCTCACTTGAAGGCGCAGTATGCAACTGCACAAAGAGAAGGAGGAAGCTCCCATGTCCTGAAAGAGGAATGACCTCCAAGGTGTCCCGTCACGTTCAAGAGAAGAGAGGCGTGCCCAGAACGAGTGGCATGCCATCCTTGGTGTTGAGGACCAGCAGGGTGGGGTGAGGGCCGCCCGTGTTGACACAGAAAGGAGCCAGGAGAGGAAATCCAAGAAATGAGAGAGAGAGGCTGGGGGCAGGGGCGCTCCGGGAGAGGGCCTGGGGCCAGTGTTTTCTATGTGCCTTCTTCTTCTCTGGGCACTTTCAACTGTGAGAACTACTATTACCATAGGCAATGAATAAATAAAATTCAGACGAAAACAAGATGGAACAAACAAACAAGGAAGAAAAGACAGAAAGAGTTAGCCAACTGGTCTCGGGGTTAGACAGCTTTGGGTTCCAGTCCCAGCATGGCCTTTATGGACCGGGTGGCCACGGGGGATATGGCTTGTTCACTGACTTTGCCATGAGACCTCCTCGCGTGGGTGTAATGATGCATTGAGGCGTGAAGGACACTCCACCATCATGGTGTCTGGGCAAAGCCTTTGGGGAAAACAGCGGCTTTGCTTCTGATTTGGAGCATGTTTGGGCACATTCTGGCCAGCTGAGGAGAGTCCCCAAACGTTCCCAGTGGCCTGTAAAACCCCAGGCAAACCGCCTCGAGGGACTTCTGCATCTTGGCATGATAGTTGAAAACCCAGTGCTCCAACTTTGGGGCCTGGGTCTGCCACGTCTCTCCCTCTGTGACTTTGGGTACCAGCCTTTGCCTTAATTTCCAGCTTTGTGAAATGGAGCCGATGTCCTGCACACAGGCAGGGGGTCACCTAGGAGAGGCCCTGTCTAGCTTGGTCCTGCCCCACCCCTGGTGTAAAGATCCCTGGGTGGCTGAACTTTCTCTAGAAAGGATAAGCGTGTTACCTCCTGTAGGAGATGACCCCTAACTGGTCCTCGAAGGGTGAGTAGAAGTTGGTATAGACAGGAATTCAGGGCAGAGGGAACAGCCTAGGTTTGAGTGGGAAAACATGCTGAACGGAGGGGGTCGGTGTTAGGAAGGGCTGAATACCAGCAGATTGGTGGGGATTTCCTCAGGGTGTTAGGAAGCCATGGAGGGTGTGAGAGCAGGCCAGGGATCTAGATAGCAGAAGGCTGGGCTGCCTGGGTGGCTCAGTTGGTTAAGTATCCAACTCTTGGTTTTGGCTCAGGTCACGATCTCAC